AAGTGATGGAAATATTGCAAAGTTTAGGGAAAATAATGCATTGTTTTCCAGCCGAATTACATAGAGTTCTGAAAAGTGTGGTGGGCACATGTTTTCAGCCAAATTTACCATAACACTCCTAATTAGAATGTAGTGCTGCCCAGTAGCGCCTGCAGCTGTACAGCTTTATGCACTGAGCGCTCCTTGAAATTTTACTTTAAGTAGTTATGAGATTTTTTATTGTCTAACCTCTTTACAATCAACAAAACTGGAGAAAAAAGGTCTTTTGTGTGAAAACATCTGGTACGTACCGGACATTTGTGTGAGTTTGGGGGGTTGACACGTCTTACACCAAAGTGTTATTAATCAGTCTCTTTTTGCTTATTTGGTGGATCGTCGCTCTTTCTGTAAGCTAAATGTCACTGTGCAGTGAAGCTAGCTAAAAATGAATAAGCAGGCTTTGATACTTTTGATATTTCTAACTGGGTCAGGTTCGGTTGAGTTTGACACGTGTGGTGTACACGGATCTGGTGCGGTCGCTGTTTTAACAGCTTTTTTCTTGTGGTTTTGTGAACTGAAGAGCTGACTTGTTACCCGATTGTCCGATTGTGACATCTGCCGCACTCTTCTTGAGCATTGTGCTAAAACTGCAGGGTAAACAGTAAAATTTAGTCAAAACGTTGCCAAAAGAGGAGAAATTAAGCAAATATTGTTGCTTCATCTTCTCCTCTGGACATCTGATGCACAACCAGAATCTTGGAATCTCCATCCTGCTCCTCCCGTGGATCACATGGCGCGGCTTTGCTTTCTTGTCTTTTTTTATTACACATGATACGTGTTGAAGATGTAGTTTTGCTCTTGTGGGTCTCGTGGGCAGTGATAGTATTGTGCATACCCTCCGATAATAACCTGGAGGCGCTGTCAATTGCCTTCAACCGTTACCTAATTAGTAATTGGAATTGTGGTTCTAAACAGAGGAAAACTAACAGTTCATATTATTTTGCAGCAACATGCTTTTGGATGCAATAGAATGGTTCAAATATTCATATTCATGTTTCAGAATGGCCTAGTCTAAGCCCAGGCCTTCCCAAACTGAATGAACTTTAGCTATTTTGAATTATAATCAAAAAATATTCACCAAAGTAACTGCAGCAAATGTTATCTCTGCCAAGTTTGGGCTTTTATTTGTATATATAAAAGCCAAATGGAGGCCAAATGTGCACACCACACTGTTCAGTTTTTTATGCATCAGAATGTCTCAGAAACATTTACATTTTCTTTATTCCACTTTCAATATTAAAATTTGTTGTAAAAAAATAAATCAATGGGTATGAAAACTTTTGCCAGTAAATCTATCAGAAATTAGTTTTTTCTTCTTATGAGGTAAATCATCTGTTTTTCTTGTACTAAAAGCATTAAAAAATCAATTCTTTCAGGTAGAGAAAATAAAGTTGTGGAAGAGCAAATGTACTGATTCTGCAAAAACAACCTCTGCCGGACGTGTCAGCGATATTTTGAGTCTTTCAAATCAGGGCCAAGTTCTGCCTTGATTCCTGTCCAAAAACAATCTTTAAAATGCTGTCACACATTTACGAATTTATATTTTAAGTGTCAGAAAATGAAGATTCAGCACAGATTTTAGAAGTCGTTTTATTATGTGGATTAGGTATACCAATATATATTCAATGGGACAAAAAAAATAATAATATTCAGCATCAAACGTCCAAACTTTTCCTGAGTGTTGCACTTATAAAGTCTCAGCTTATATTTTTTTTCAAAAATATTTTTAATTTGAGTTTTCAATACTTAATTGCATTTAAATCTTTAATTATGGCAGAAAATAGAAGACAACCTGTTCATGAGTAGAAAAAACCTGAAATATATATATATATATATTTTTTTTAGAAAATTTGAACAATGCTGTCCCTCTAGTTTACATTTTTTGCATAAAATATTAAACATTTTGAATAATTATCTTTCAGTGGGTGAAAACTTGATTTTGTGTACCTGTAGCGAACATATTCTTTACATTATTTAAGGCTTCCCAAAACATTTTGAAAGGTTTTGATAAATTAAAGTTTCAAACAAATGGGGTAAATATTTTTTGGGGTTCACTGTTGCATCCTCTGCATCCTTGGTTTCTCTCAGCTCTGCTTGGCCCACTCAGCATATTCAGGTAACCTTGGATCCTGCAGATTCTCTGCTCTTCCCACAGAATCGTGATTGAAAACAATGAGCTTCTTACTGTTAAATATGTTGTGTGAAACTTCTGTCTGCTAAAGTCAGTAATACATTGCACCTTTTGTATCATGCTAAACAGTTCTATAAAAACACTGATATTATCTTATTAATTAGTCGCTGCTTTACTGTGTTAGATTAAATAAGTTTGCTTTGATTAGACAAATAAATTTTATTTTCACAACCACAAATATTTCCAATTAGCCAAATTTCTTGTAGGTGAAATGACAGGATAACATTCTACTTTGACAGAAACAGGTGGGGGAGGGGGAGGCTCGTATACAGCTCCGGAAAAAAATTAAGAGACACTTAAAATGATCAGTCTCTCTGACTTTACTTTTTATAGGTATGTTCGAGTAAAATGAATATTGCTCTTTCATTCTACGAGCTACTGATGCGTCTGAAATTCAAAATATATATCTATATATTTATTTGCAGAAGATAACACAAAAGATGCTCGGCTTTCAGACCTCAAATAATCCAAAGAAAACAAGTTTACATTAATTTAGAAGCAACAACTCTAATGTTTTATCTCAGGAAGAGTTCTGAAATTAATATTTTGTGGAATAACCAGGAGGTTTCCACTGCAGTGGGCTCTTCATTTTCTCCAGAGCTACAGTTAAAAAATCTAAAATACAATCTTTAAATATAAAATTAATGATTGAAATGAAGGCTGAAATCATGAGATGGGAATTAGTTTGGTAATCTCCTTTTTTTTAATTTAAAAACAAAGAGAAAACAATGCTTACTTCTTATACGAGCTGATATTATTTGGAGTAAGTTGCTTGGTATTGCTTGAAGAAAAAAAAAGAAATCACATTTCCTAGTGGATACACGTGGTCTGACTCAATTTCTGAAGCAATCCCCCCCAAAAAAACCCAAATTGTCATTGGATATTTTAACGAGACCACTGGTACTCTAGGAATCAATTGGCTAAATCAGCAAATGTTGTTGTGAAACACAGATGTGGAAAGTACAGCTCTGTAATTGGGTACAAAAACAACCCTGCAATATTTTCACACACAAAAGGAAAGAAAAGTTGCAGGCTGTTTTGGGTTACAGTAACCACATTTGTCCTTTCATGCACAACATCGCCCTCTGGCACAGACAGTTCTTTAAGTATCTCATTTTGAACATTGCTTCGTCGGGGAGTTAGGCCTGCACTGTTATTAGTCTGGGTAGCAGATTTGTTTTGTGCTCCACAGTGCAACATTGTTGGCTGGCCTTGTTTGGCAAGACAACATGATGTTGGCTGGAATGCAAACTCTCTGATAGCAAGGCTAATAAGTCGCCTCCCCCAGTTTCCTCTGTAAGGCCTCATTTCAACCCTTTTGTTGCTCAGACTGGTGTAATCCACTGCCATACATCCCAGTAACACATTCTTCTCACTTGTATTTGTTTGTTACTAGAAAGCCGACCATGACAAATGGGTAGGTTCATCAGTTTGTTCATCCATCACGTGCATGACCGACCGCTAATTCAAGGGGCCGAACTTCAGGCACGTTCACTCAATGTGATGCTTATTTCTCGACTGCCATAGCTCCATTAGTTAAAGGGAAATCATCCAGTCGATGGGGATGCGACAAAATTTGGAATGGAGTGTTGAATAAATTCTCCAGAAAAACATTCGGCTCACATTCTGGAAACTTTTAAAAGCCGATGAAATTGAAAACATGGCAATCTTGAAATAGATGCACCTGTTCTGTTTACATGAGTGAATGTGTGGCCTGAACCCTTCAGTGTGCAAATGTCCAAGCATTTCAAATTCAAGGTTTGTTTTTTTTTTTTTCATTTTAGCTGCATTTTTAAGAGAAGATTGTGGATTTGTAGTCAGACGAAAACTGTATATGTAATTAAACAATTTTCAGTCAGTTTTCTGTCTGTGAGTGTTGCTCTGTTTTCTCTGAGTTTGACCTTTGAACTAAAAATCTAAAACACTGACAAGGGGAAATGTTCTGAAATCAATTCTGAATTCAGGGATCAAAAACATTATTTATGTCGTCTAGTTTCTAATTGTTCTGATTTTCAGAAAACATTTTAACAGTAAGAACTAAACTTTTTTTATACCTGACCGGTATGATAAAAGACTTAACGAAGTACCTAGGAAAGAAATGTATTTGGTGTAGTTGAGGAAGCAATTTGGGAATATTTGATTTAGTAATCCTTGAAATTAGGAAGCAACTGTGTAGGAATCGGAGAGATTAAGAAAATAAAACCAACATAATATTAGAGCCGCACAAAAAAAATAAAGAATAAAGTCAATATTTTGAGAATAAAGTAAAAATTTATTTTATTGTTTTACTTTACTGATATGTTTATATTCTTAGCTTGTCCCCAATAGTCATATAGGAAGGAACTGAGCAAGAAATTGAATAAAGGAGAAAAGAAGGGAATTAACATCCTGAATTTACCCTTTGTGGGGCAATAAAGGCTGAAAAAAGAACTGAATAAACAAACTGACCAAAATGCAGAAACAATGAAGTAAAGAATGATTGATGTTGTTGAAAAGGGAATTGCACAAAGAAGAAATGGGAATGAAATAAGGAAATTAAAGACAGATTGGGTAAGGAAAGCAGCCGAGGAAATAATTGAAGAGAAAGGATTGGTTACTTTGAAAGAAATTAGAAGCCGTTTATATGAGAAGCTTGGAAAAAAAAAGTAGCAAAGTGTTAGAAACTTCTCAGGAGCTCCACTGGTTTAATTTTGTGCCTCTCCCCTGCTGCTAGAGGTTAATTAAAAAGGTAGGTGCTGCTGTTTGTGTTTGGTGGTGACGGAAAACCCACTTTGTTTCTTCTTGCGTAACCTTCCTCCACGTTTCCTCAGGTGTCTGGCGAGTGGACATCGTACTTATTCCTGTTCGTCACAATGAGCCGTCTGAAGGCCTGAACACAGCAAGAACAGAGAAATTTGCTCCCAGAGATACAAGAACTAAATCACAGGTGTCAAACTCGAGGCCCGTGGGCCAAATCCGGCCCGCCACAGTTTTTTATGTGGCCCTCGAGATTCAAGACTAGATACTAAGTGTGTTTAAATATTATGTTATCAATCAAGTTATTGCAGTTTTTATCTATTTACTGCCAAACTATATCAATCAGTCCCTCCAGTTTCTTGAGAATTATTATGCAAATTTATGTAAACTCAACAAAATGTGGCAAAAACTGGAAGGTTATAGCAGATTTTACTCAAAAATTGTCACAAGCTTTCTTATTTGTACTAAACAGCTACCTCAGCCTTAATTGATGTCAGATTGTAGACCATGATCTATAGCGAATAATAAAAAGTCACATTTACTGTCATAAATAAGCTGAAATCGCAAACATTTTGATTTTTATACCAAAAAGAATCAGGAAATCCTGGAGGGACTGAAAGATGTTCAATAATATTATTTAATTTTAAGGATTCACTGATATTTTAACAGATTTTGAACAGGTTTCATCAATACATTCTGGCACAACCGGGCCTTTAAGAGCGTTCAAGATCTTGATTTGGTCCAAAATTAAAATGAGTTTGACTCCCCTGAGCTTAATGATATTTTGTTTTTGCAGCTTTGGCTTTCACAGTCTTTTCTTGATGCATATTCTGGGTAGAGCTTTATTTTCTTCTGTGGTGTCTGAACCGGCTCGGCGGTGCCGCTGGTGGGAGAAACCTGTGAAAACTTCCCAGGAGTTCTGCACTTGAATTCTTGTGAAGTATGAAATGTTTGTTGTTTGGGTAAAAGAACAAATTTCTCTGTTGTTGAGTAAGTGTTGGCATTAAGTGTGACCATGTGTTTGTTTTCATCTTTAAATGTGAGCACAGTTGTGTGTATTCTTGTAAGTTCCTCTATCTGTTGCTTGCACTTTGAACTAAGTACCAAAAATATAACCCCTTGAGTTTCACAGACTTTACTCAAAAGACGTAAAGTGATGGCAACTCGGATTTAATATCTCACACAAAGGTGAAGTGGAAGATATTAACTTGCAGTGTAAATGCTACAGTGGGGACGATAAGCTGAGAGATTTTGTATGTTTGCTCACTTGACGAGAAAATAAGTTTCTAATCTTTATGGTAACTTGATTTTGATGAAGACAGAATAAAAATTAAGGAAATACACATTGCATGAGTTGAAGATAAATTTTCATGTCACTGGAGGAAATAGGTATTGAAATCTTCATTGGCTGCAGAGCTAAAACATTTTCTCCAGGCGTTTAGAAGGTTTTCATATGCGTTAGAAAGAATTTGATGGAAAATCCTTTAGTTTTGGATTCTTATCACATCACAGATTATGTGTAGGATTGAGGTGAAGACTAGTGAAATACCTAAAAATGATTCTTCTTTCGCCGATCGTTTCTTTCTGGTTGAGAAAGAAAAGTTAGACAGATTCATTTGGAAAACCTGAATGTTTCCACCTCAGTGGTTGGATGTAAGGATGGAGTTTGCTGATGGAAGTGAAAAGGTAGAAATGGAAGAAATTAATTGTGTGAGCAGATGTCTGTTTGCCAATGATAGTCAAATATTGATTTAACGCAACAAAATGTTACCAAAAAAAAAAAAACACATGAAATGTGTTGTTTCTGGATTTTTGCTTCATATTCTGTCTCTCAACATTAAAATATCATGGAAATGTGAAACTATTTGTGAGCAAAATGCAAAAACAGTGGGGAATCAAGTAGGGCTGCACAATATATTGCAAAATTGTTATTGCAATATCACTGTATATAGTCTTATTTTATTGTCATTGCACCAAGATAAATCAGTGAAACTGGCAATAAAATGTCATCACCGGAGCACGCACACACACAAAAGTACAGAAATAACATAGAAGTTGTATAGAAAAACAAAATATAGTGCAGTGGAGCATCATTTGCAAGGATTTTTTCACACCCCCTCTAAAGTCGTTTATAGCTGCATATTTCAATAGTTCAACACCAGTTATCCTTAATATACGCTGCACAGTGGAAGCCATCTTGGCTATACTTCTTTATATTGTTCTCAGGGCTTCAGCCAATTAGTAGCAATGAAAATAAAAGCCCCTTCTGGATTGGTTGCTTTCCAAACAACAGCCAATAGCATGTCAAGTAGCATCGTGCTTGAATATTTCAGCTTGGAGCTACATGTCATCCACGAACAAATCCAAAAATGGGTGGATTTTCCACAAATAATTTGTAACTTTGTTCCAGTTATTTAATAACAATCTTTATTTAATGCAACAGAAACAGCTGGTAATATGAAGGAGGTTTAGGGCCACTGCAGAAAAAAAAGAATTCTGACTTTTTTCTCAGAATACTGAGATTAAAGTCATAATTCTGTCATTAATCTCAGAATTTTGACTTTTTCCCCCCAGAATTCTGTAAATAAAGTCAGAATCCTGACATTAATATCAGAATTTTTACTTTTTTCCTCAGAATTCTGATATTAAAGTTAAAGTCAGAATAACTTTAATCTCAGAAGTCAAAATTCTGACATTAAAGTCAGAACAGTTTTTTTCCCCAGTGGCCCGAATCCTCTTCCGTACTGGTAAGGCGGTAAAATCTTTAAAAAACTTACGCTACGTCGATTTAACTACAAAACAGCTGAGGAAGTTTTAGGGTCTGTATTCGCAACTTTAACACTTTTCAGTTGTTTCGCTTCATCACTCGATACGTCGTTGTCGCGACCTTTACCGACTGTAATATTGTGCAGCTCTGCGGCCTGTTCCCCCTCCTCTACATGACGGGATGTAGACGTTGGGACGCGCAGTGACGCGCAGTGACGTTCTGGATCTGTTTGTTGGCAGGCGGGTCAGGGAGGCGGACACCGGACCCTGCTCTACGGTCACGCCATCCTCTTACGTCACTCCTTCAGTGGCATGGTGAGTATTTACACTCCACTTACTAAAATGGAGATAAATTGGACTTTCATAATTGCTAGTCATTCTGCAATTTTTTTTAAATTAAATATTTACTTTCTTTGAACCTCGCAATGAAAATATCGCATTATGGAGACGCCATGTAGTAACCATGGAGACAGTGCCGCAGCGTCATGTAGCCTAGCATGTTTGGAAAATAAACGGTTAGCGTTTAGTATTTTGTACGTTTTCAAGGCTGTTACGGTGTAAAAGGAAACACAGTTTATGACATAGTAACATAAATCATGTGGCCTGAATCCAGGCAGAGTCGGTAATTTAATCAAAACGTCAGGATGGAGGCGGTACGGGTCGGTTTCTAAGCTAGCTGTGTCCAACTTTTATAAATACCTCCGTCTATGAGCCTCAACCAGAAGTGTTACTTTCACAGACGAATTAGCTCGACTCAAACAAGTAGAAGCCATGAAGAAACTGGCAAAAACAACTTTGGAAGATAATTTATGTGGCTCTGTGCGATACTCCTCACTTCCGACGTCCATCATGGCGCCTCGAATGATTAAGTGACGTATTTGCAAAGAGTCAATACAAATAAAGTTCTTGAAACATTTCGTATTTCTTTTTTTATTCAAGATCTGTTAAAATGATCTTTGACAATCTGGAAGTCTGTAAAAGTTTTTCTTTAGATTTTGTAGCTTTTTACTCATGTTTTGTCCATGATAATTTTCAAAAGAAATTATTTTTATGACTAATTTAGTGTTTTCTGTAAAGTAGATCCAGGTGTTTGCTGGATTTTTTTTCTTTGACCAAAACAAATCAAATTTTGACCCTGCAGTGGAAACCCTTTTATATGTCTGTTTCTCTCTTTGTATGAACTTTATTTATTTTTTAAGCATACACACACTGTGCAGAAAATAATAGTATAAAAAAAACAATTTGCAGGTTTGGTTGATCCAGATGACTTTAAAAGATTATGAGAAAGTCTGCTTAGACGCAAAAACTATTTAAGAACATGTCAGTTTTTCCCATAGTGCTGTTCTTATTCAGAAACTTGGTTACTGAGTTGATTTAATTGACTAATAAATTAATACACTTATTATTAAACACTAAAACTTCACATTCCTTCTTCTAAAACATTAATATTTTTCCAATTTGCATCAGTGCTCCATTTTCTTTGACCCAACACTAATTCATTTTTCACTCACCAGTACTTGACCTGTTTGAAGACATCAAGGTCTCTGACAGACAAGCTGTCATTTGATGTCGGACTGCAAGAAGATTCAGTAGGTACAGTATGACTAATGAACACTCAACCAGTATGAACCAGTTTGAATTAACCTTGAGACTAAGTAAGTACCAGATATGATTGAAACATAACTCGGTATGTGCTGTGAAACGTCTGCACTTTATACCCTTTCTGATGTCTTTGAATGAAAAATATCAAAAGGTTCCACCTGATCAACGTATTTCTGTGATTGTGCTTTTAGGAGAAGCCTGCTGGTGGACGATTCATCCAGCGTCCAAGCAGAGATCGGAAGGAGAGAAAGTCCGCATTGGAGATGATCTGATTCTCGTCAGCGTGTCCACTGAGAGATACCTGGCAAGTCACATTTTAAAACTCACCTGAGAAACGACTCTAAAGCTTTAAATACAGTTGGTAAAACAAGAGGTGCACATGTTACTGTGTTTTTGATGACATCTAAATAAATTAATAGAATTAAAGTAATCTTCACAGTAAATTTAGCCTTTATGGTTGGTTCATTATATCTTGAACAAACAGTTCACTGAACTCGAATGGACTCTGCAGTCACCAGATCTCAATCCAATAGACCAGCTATGGCATGTGGTGGAACAAGAGATTCGCATCATGGATGTGCAGTCGAAAAATCTGCAGCAACTGCGTAATGTTACCATGTCAATATGGACCAGACTTTCTGCTGAATTCTTCCAGTACCTTGTTGAATCTATGCCACAAAGGATTAAGGCAGAAGGAGGCCAAACCCAGGAGTAGCAAACATCAGAGTGACAAGACTATTTAAGTTGAAAGCAGCATACCTTGGCTCTGCTACCTGAGCTAGAAACCAGATTACCTGTAAAACACCTCTATGCATATTAAAAACAATTTGTGATGT